CAATAACGGAATGATTCCTTTACTAGACTTAGAATTAAAAACAGTTTCTGTTTAGTATTAATTTCTTCAAGAAATGGCTGAGGAATTTGGTAAAATGTAATGTAAAAGTATATTGTTCGAAATAAAGTTTTATTAAATTAATTAAATTAAATTATTAATAAGGGAAGCCTCACATATCGATTTTGTCCATGAGAAACGTCATGTGTTCGTTTCTCTGGAGACACCCCCCCCCACCCACCCCCCCTAGAAACGTCACACATCGTTATCGATATTTTGTTCTTTAATATAGTACACATAAGGTAAATTTTCTACTATTTTCTACGGTCGGCTATTGGCAATGCTTCCGTGAGGAATATGTCATCAAATTTTCCAACGTTTCTCAAAACAACTTTTTTTGCATGAAATATTGATAATTTTAGCGCGCTTTTTTTTTAAACTTGAGTTTTTTAATGCAGGCCAGGCGTAATAATATAAATGGATACGTATATAAAACAGGTATGGTATTACGAATGTAATTTTTTATTCTGCAAAGATGATTCCGAAATGTCAAGGCTTTCGAAAAAACTATCGAATTTTTCCATGATGTTTACTGAGAAACGTCACAGCTGCAAACCCCTCACTCCCAAACGAACATATGACGTTTCTCGTAGAAAAAATCGATATGTGAGGCTTCCCTAACACTTTTTACTTTATAAGTTACGAAAAAACAATACAGCGGTCAGAACATCATACGGCCAGGGCCGCCGAGAAGGGGGGGGGGGGCAGGGGGGCAAATTGCCCCGGGCCCTGTGTTGCTGGGGGCCCCTGAAAATTTTTTGTTGGGCCCCAGCCTTTTTTGTGTGTTAAATATTTCCGCGCAAAGGACAAGATATCTGTTTTTTGGGCTAAGTACCGAATTTTGGCATAAAAAAATGAGATAAAGTCCCTCGAAAGCAATTGCAACGTACTCGTGCGGAAATATTTAGTACTCCGGGAAAAATTTTTACCCCTAAAATAGTACACTGACCAAAAATTTTTTGGCGACGGGGGGTTGTTCTCCGGAAAAGAAATTTTCCGGGAAAAATTTTTTAGATAGGGCCTCTAAAAAAACTATGTCCGGGCCCCCGTCAACCTCTCGGCGGCCCTGTATACAGCACAATGAAAACATGACATATCAAAAGAAATAGTATCGTACAAATTGGGAAATCTATAGCATACAAAATAAAATGGATTTTAAAGCCATCACGGCAAGGTTTTTCCCACAAGTTTATGATGATATAGCGTTATATCATAAAACGGCAAAAAACGCCGAGCCCGCTGCTCAACAGGAGTGAACAATGTTTTGCTGCCCACGTTGTTCACACTGGTCAACAATATTATACACTTACTGTCTGCTCCGGAGAGAAATAGTTAGTTTTGTTTTCCCGAGAGTCTCAATGTTAGTCGAAACATTGAGATTCGAGGGCAAACAAAACTAACTATTTCCCGAGGGAACAGACATTAAGTGTTTTGTTATATAGCGACGAACAAAAATCAACTTCAACAACATTCATATACAACAATTGTTTTTCGTGGCAAAAACTCTATAGAGTAAACGAGTTTAAAATTAAAGAATCTACTTAAACGGTTTCGGCAGCATATCCTGTTTCCTGTTCTGTATTTTTCTTCCCTTTTACATTCTTTATTTGAACACAAACTTGGAAAAGCGTAGTTTCTAATTATCGTAGTTGTGCCGCCATTTTGTTTATTTATGTACGTGGCCGGTCGGGGCGGGCAACAATTTTTCACTTGTTGCCCGGAGGGAAACATTGCATTTATCTGAAGTCACGTGATCACAAATCAGCCAATCACGTTTGGTGTTCACGCTAGCTATATAACAATGAACAATATTGTTGAGCCTGAATCGGGTGTAACAGTATTGTTACGTAATAGGATGGTTTCCCAGAACTTTTCACTCGCCCTCGTGCTATTTTGATATTCTTTGAAAAACTCATTCGTTATCCAAATTGCATTTGGAACCATCCTATTACCTATACTACTTTTTGGTTTGGTATTTTTTATTCCTGTTTAGTGCGCATACTTAGTTTGTCACGTCGAAACACAGGACTCATCTTTATATATGATGGTTCCTGGAGGAGAGTTGTTGAAGAAAATTGGGATAAGAACCGTCAGAAAATGCTGTGTGAGCACTTGGGATTTGAAGAGACTGCTGACAATAAAATTGTTATCGGACGATCAGGGGGTGGAGTTGATATTGCAACTGGGGACTTCATATGTTATAACACTATACAACCAAGTGGAACATCCTGTTGTATCCATCTTCAACCTTCTAGACCACCTCGAGGAACTACATTTCAAATTCCAGATGTGCAATGTAAGTGTATAGAGCTTTGTGTATCAGGATCAAAATTTCGGTGAGCAACGCCGTATGCACAGAATTTCAAGTATTTAAATTATAATGTCGTATGTTTCTCTAAATTGAGCACAATGTGCCTAGTTATGCGGGAATATTTCGTCACGCCAAGAGAAATGACGCAATTTGGGGTGCCAAAAACAATGCACTATTGACAGCGAATGAAACCAGTGTTTCAATTCGAGCGTAAATTTTATTCAATTAGTAGATCTGATCAGAAGCAGTTAGAAAAAAGGCAACTATTTAAGGCCCAAATCAAACTATAGCGGCCCTGTTTCTAAGCGGAGTTATCGCCGGAATAATGAATGTGACAAACTAAAAACTAGAAATAATTACAGTCTACATGTGCAAGTAGTATTATAATGAACCAAAGGTGACTGTTGATAAATTTATTGTATAAAACGTCATATAATTATTCAGAAAATTTTCCACCAGTACCACAGGGTCGAATTTTGTAGCGAACTTGTGGTGAAAAATTGAAAGGTTTGCATTTTGCACAGAACTGGCCATTTTGTATTTAGCCAGCACGAGTGGGAGAAATTTCACTAAATTTTACTAACGTGATGCCAATGTATAGGCGTTGATTTACTTTATATCTATTTTTACTGTAGGCAAAATGTGTGACAAACCGCTACTCCAAGACATAAACACTTTTCCAGAATCCGTTTTTTCTGGCAGTGGTGATCCACATAATAATTATGAACGTGCAAGGATTATTAGAGGTGGCTGGTGTCCGAGGGGTCATGAGACTAGATATCTTATGCTTGATCTTCAGAAACAATATCACATAACACAAGTTGTAGTTATGGCTGATACCGGACAAAGATGGTGGAGCGGCTCATATTCGTTAAAATACAGTCATGATAAAACATTGGTGAATGGTAGCAGTGCAATACCGGTAATATAAAACATAGTGGGCATTCTTTCCTAGAAGGAACGTATAGGTAAAACTGCCTCTTGCACGATAACATCGTATCCATGGGAAAGGTATAGAAGTGAAATATAAATACAGTTTATTTACCCTATTATTTCAGCGGTCGCAGTTGAGCCTGCTGGCATGGCATATAGAG